TCAAGAGTGAGTTAGGAGAGTTGGTGATCTCTTGGACAAATCACCGAAGGCGCCAAGATAGGTTCATCACGAGCAGGAAGGAACAAGGGAAAACATGAGGTTTTCCCCGTGGACCGACCCGTGACGAGATCCTATTCCCGGGCCCTCAACAAAATCGCTCTGGATACTCGAACACCCTAATGTGAGATCATGCATGCACAGCTAGTCTTTTCTTTTACAACATCCTCTATATGAACCTTCATCTATTGTGACTACTAATTTTCATTTTCATTTACCATGGGTTTCAGACTTGTTGGAAATCCAGTATGTACAATTACCACGGGTGATAACTACTGCCAGCCTCAAGGAATAGGATAGGCTTATTCCACTGACCTGACTAACTGTGGCTCCAAGTCATGTCCCCCACAACAAAGTGTGAACCCTCAGAGTTGTGGTTGTGCCTATCCATACACAGGGATGTTAATTTTCAAAGCACCTACTTTCCGAGAACTATCCAACGCCACTATGTTTCATTCACTAGAAATGAGCCTTTGGGTAAACCTTAGCCTTGTGCCTGGTTCAGTTTCCCTCCAAAACATGTTCTTTGACGAGGATGACTATCTACAGATGCAATTGGAACTCTTCCCATCAAATGGAAAGTATTTTAATAGGACATAGGTTCAAAGGATTGGGTTTTATTTGAGCAACCAAGTTTATAAACCTTCAGATATATTTGGGCCATACTTATTTAATGCATTTGTTTATCCTTTCCCAGGTAACTTATTCTATTCTTGCTTAGAAACAAAATTTGAGTCAACCCCTTGAAATGATGAATTTGATAAAAAATGAACAAAACAATTGTTTCAGGTGGAAGTCAAGGAACTTCACTAAGCTAAGGTGCCATTGCTGGAATAGCAATTTCTTGTGCTTCTTTGGTCTTCTTACTCATGGGTGTGAGAATCTATGCCATTCGGCAAAAGAAATGTGCAGACAAAGCTACTAAATCGAGTAAACCATTTGGTAATGTGCTCCATGCAATTATGAATATAATGTTTTCTATACCAAATTTACAAGTGCATATGATAGTATGTTAAAATTTGAAAAGTTGCAATTTCCAATATAAATTGCTTATCTGAACTATTACCCACCATATTGCAGCATCGTCGTTTCAAATGAATAGTGATAATGGTGGTGCACCAAAATTAAAAGGAGCTTGATTGTTTTCTTATGATAAACTCAGAGCATGCACCAGCAATTTCTCAGAAAGCAATGGAATCGGATCTGGGGRCTATGGCAAGGTACTAATCCATTTGTTATAACTCATAAAGCTCTTGATGTCTAGCAATGCATGGCAACATAGTGAACTTTGTTCCCTTTCCAGGTTTATAAAGGAATTCTCTCTAGTGGGCAAGTGGTAGCAATTAAAAGAGCAACACAAGATTCAATGCAGGGTGGGCATGAATTTAGAAATGAAATTGAGTTGCTTTTACGGGTTCATCACAAAAATCTGGTGAACCTGGAAGGTTTTTGTTTAGAGCAAAGAGAGCAGATGTTGGTCTACGAATTCATTCCTAATGGGACGCTTTGGGAGAGTTTATTTGGTATGTTTCGCAGTTCCATAAACATTCTCCTATTTTGTATATCTTAATACATAATAAGAAATTATTCTGCAATCATCAACTGCAGGGAGATCGGGAATTCACCTAGATTGCAAGAGGAGACTCCAAATTGCTCTAGACTCAGCCAGAGGATTATCATATCTTCATGAACATGCTAATCCCCCCATAATTCATAGAGATGTTAAGTCGAGTAATATTCTATTGGATGAAAATTTAGTTGCAAAGGTTGCAGATTTTGGACTATCCAAGCTGATATCAGACATTTCTAAGGGACATGCTTCCTTCCAAGTTAAAGGAACAGTGGTAAGTATTACTGCATAGGCCATCCCTCTTCCATCCTGAAGGTTTCTTCAAGAATGCATTGCCATTATATTATTCTACATTTCTACTTGAGAGAATCACAATTATATCTGTATCAACAAATGTCAAATGTATGACGTCATAAGTACTTTAATTTGTCGAGGATACATGTTTAGAAGGAAAAGATGCATCAAATTAAACATGTTATTTGATTATGGTTCAATAAACACATTAACATTTGGAGGAAAAGGAAAATCTAAACTGGCTTTAGTTTTAGATCAGGATATCTATTGCCATCACCAGATTCTTGAGTTATAGAAACATCCTGTAAAATTATTGATCC